GGGGAGAGGGGAGAGGGGAGAGGGAGAGAAACATCAGTGATGAGAAAGTCACTGATCAGCTGCCTCCTGCACGACCCCTGCTGGGCATCGAGCTCGCAACCCGGGCATGTGCCCTGACCAGGAATCAAACTGCGATCTCCTGGATCCTAGGTGGACGCTCGACTGCGGAGCTACGCCAGCCAGGCTGATTATACTTCTTGATCACATATCAGCCAACATGAAGGAAAGGGGACCAGGGAGAAAGTGGCTCAGAAACAAATTTGTGGCAGGGAATAGTGAGTCTGAGATTAAACACATGCCAATGTCATCCAAAAGGAGGGCAACGACAAGCTAGCCACGTACAGAATAGGCTCCTGAAAAAGAGACCATCTACTGCAATGGATGCTGCCCTAAGCTGCAGACAATTGCTCCTCATTCTGTCAGGTAAGCAGCTAAATCCGTCACAGAGGCACAGCAAGGTCCATAAATCTGTTTTGCCACAACTAGCTACACAAGTTTACGATTTCAAAAACTCCAAGGAGACATTTGCCACCAAAGACAGCTCATCAGGAGTCAACAGAGCAAGGAGAGAGACAGCCCTTCTTACAATAAAATTCTACATTGTTATAACTAAGATCTAAACATCTCCAGTCCTTGTCTAGTGGGTTGTGTGAGCTGAACCTCTTAGATCAATGCCTAGTTATTTTATTTTGGAGACAGCCATGTCTTTTTATGTTGACCGGGATGATGGTTATTGACAAGTAAAATATAAAGACCTTAATGTGGGCATGCCATTAACCTGGGGTCAAGCTCCAGAGCCTGAAAGAAAATAAAGCAATAAGGACCCAAAGCTGTGGTTATTTCTGGTCAGACTACTAACAGGCCCTGTCTTATAACACAACGCCATGCCAGCTACCAGAATAAATACAGATACCTGTGGACCACACTCATGAGGCTGCCTTAAGTGACATGAGCACTCCAGTAGATGTTTCATGAAACTCTTCAAATACTAGTGCTACTGTTGGTTCCCATTCGACTCCAAACAAAAGCCAGGAGTATGTAACGTGAGCTAATTCTTTAGTCCCTTAAGCTCTAAAACCTAGCTGGAAACTGACACACTTCCCCCTGTGACTACAGCTATACAAATTATTTAAACTGAGCTAGCGGGTTCTCCCTGACATCAATTCCTGCATGCTATGTTTCAGTTTAAGTGCTCTTCTGAGGCAGAGTTTTAACACCCTAAAAAGCTAGACAGAGCCAGGTTTTAATAGGCTCCCCTCATCGCTTGAGTGCTTTGGGAATAATAAAACACCAACAAAAGCCCGTTGTTCTCACGGGGCACTTTATCAGAGTCCAGTGAGTACACACTAGAAGACGCCATCGGCACAAAAGACTGGCCAGAAAAGAAAGCAATCTCCCCCACAGCGCAGTAGCCCACGGCTTTAGCCCACGGAAGAGAGATGCCTCCAGCACACAGCTGCTAAGCCCGGCCTCACCCTGCTTTGGCAGGATTGAGGTCGGCAGCAGCACTTCCATTCTAATTGCCTCCTCCTCCGGCTCTCCAGGTTTGTCATGGGATTACAGGTTTGTCAGTTTAAGGGCTTTAAAGCCCTCCTCTCAGAAGGTATAACGCCACCAAGAAATATAGGAACTGCTCCATTCAGTTACAAAGCCCTCTGCTCGGTAGACAGCTCACACACTGATCATAAGAACCAAAAGAACCAGCTCTTCTCAAAGCCCAAGCTCAAAAAGCCCCCTTGTTTAGCCCCATGGCACCTACCATCCACGAAGCTTATAGGCCTCTGGGATGTCAGGATTCACAATGATCGTGCTGGAAGATAGTACAGAGAGGCTCCGTCCACCAAAATCAGAAACTCTGGCTCCTTTGATAGCCATCACGGGTTGTCTGGAACCATCAAATTTATCAGCCTGCAGCACAACAAAAATCCCAGACAAATACAAACGTGTCACTGGCAGTTTTTACAGAAAACAAGGAAAGTAGTCAATACCAGGGTGAAAGCAATAAATGGTACATGGAATCTACTGTACAAGATAACCTCACACGCAAGAATCTTCTCAGAGATACATCAGGACTAATGTAGAAGCAGCATTTCACTATGTAAAACTTAAACCATACCAATCTCACAGAAGTAAATCAAATGAAGGGTTTCCAGCATTCCCAAGACAGCCCAATTCTTCGCTGGGCAGGGGCTACAGGACAAGTCACTGCCTTCCGCATGTGCTGCGACTGCACAGCACAAGTACTTACATCATCTCCCCACAGAGTAGCAGACACCACTTTCCCCGACATGTCCATCAAATAGATATTTCTCTTAGAAACTTCTCTGTTGTTAGACTTCACTGTGATTTTAGTGGCATCTTCATAGCTCTTGCAGATCCCAATTATGTCTAAAACACAGGCACAATGTTTTAGCTCGAGATAGTCAAGGCTCCCACTACAGTGTGACTGAAGGCTGAACAGTAAGCAGGCAAGTCTTCCACCCCTCTGTGTGTGGAAAACAGAACTGACAATCACCCCTCTCTGTGCTCCCAGACACAGACTTACCTATCAGGGAGTCCTTGGGTTTGTTCTCTAGGTCATCGATCCTTGTGAAATCAAACTGAACGGTAGGTAAATTATGACCATCTTCACAAGGCAAGACGGAAGTCTCATTATTGAAGGTCATCTCGTAGTCGTTTTTAACAGCTGAGAATTGTTTGTTAGCAATCTTCAGAGTGCCTTTAGAGAAATAGTACACCTGCAAGAGTCCAAGCCACGGAACATGGGGCAGCCCATCCAATCGGATGTAAAAAACCCTTTACCAGCACACAGCCCTCAGAGGGACGTTTCAGTTCTAGACTCAGCATTACCATACCTTGTTCATGTCGATGAGGGGAAAGAATTTGTCCACTTGCTCATTGAAAGCAGTAGCTCTGATTTCACCCTGTGGATGGGGCAAGAGGTTAGAATCATGTTCACCAAGTTCTGCCAGCAAAAACCAGGACACTTTAAGTGTCAAATGACATCTTTAAGGAAACACGCATCTTATACTCACATATTCGAGTTATTAACCTCATGAAACAATGTAAGTTTAGTTAGCTGATACTGTCATCATGCACTTTATTAGCCTCAAGTTAGAAACCTAAAAAAATAAAATACCAAAAAAACCCCAACAAACCTAATGATGAGTTGAATATTCTGACAACAAAAATAAAACAACCCGAACACTGAGTGACACGACCAAAGCCCACGGGAACCACGATGATTCACCAGCCTCCCTCGCACTTGCACTAAGCAAGGAATTAGTTCATGCTCAGGAGTCACTGCCAAAAACGTTACAGTAAGTCATGTTTTCAAGTTGCTCGTGATTTGATTTTTGCTTTTGCTTTTTGTCAGTCTAAATGCTACAGATGGATAAAAAACTTAAATAAATGGCTGAAATTTTTGCCAACTGACAGAATAGGTCAGTAATTTGGTAAAAAATTAGGTTCTGATATTGATCAAGGCATTACAGTCAATACGTAAATTGGGGTGTCATTCCATCTTCCAAAAACAAAAAACAAAAACAAACCACCTATTTTTTGCTGCCCTTAAGAGGTTTGAACAAACAGGAAGTATGCGGCAGTTTGAAAAGAATGCTTGAAGTACATATAGTATTGGGAATTAAAAACGAAACTAATGAAGACTGGAGATTCCACAACTTGGGTTTTTTTGTCCCCTCACCATAGTTTTGTTTAAGGAAAGCAAGTACAGTCTGCACAGTCAGAATCTGCACAGTCCACAAAACCACTCACTTACCAAGGTGGCTGCTGTGCCTTCCGATGCGGCTCAAAGATCCACTTTGCTCCTGAGCACACATCTCCTCCTACAGCCTCAACTAAACCTGCCAGCGAGTCAGACAGAGCCTCTGGTTTCTCCTGCCCACGAGGCTCCTCATACATTTAGAAAACTAATTTCCACTGCTACAAATGCTTTCGTTTAAGGTCAAGGATTTTATTTATGACCTTTAACCCTCTGCCCCCAGGTAAAAGACTACAAAAGAGGAAAAACACAGTAACAATCATGGTTCTTTTTGGATTCCCATTGTTTTTCATCCCATAGGTCTGCACGGAGACAGCCTTCTGTGTCTCAGGGTCCACCACTCTTATTTCCCTACTTGACAAATACTCACACTTTCGTCGACTAGTTCTATTGAGAAAAGCTTCCCTTCCCCCCGGGAATTGCTCCAGGTACGGATCTGACTTTTGTTGGTAACCCGAGCACAAATAGTCCACCTAAAAACCAAATATATTATAATAGTGTCAGAGTCTCACGTGGGAAAGATCTGAAAGGTTCCCTAACACCTTCCAATAGCCTTTCTTATCTTCTGCCTAATTCATTTTTCAATGGAAGCTGTATTTTAATCCACCCAATTAAACCCGAAGGTGACACAAAGGTTTGACAGTTTATAGAATTAGCAAACAGTATAACATACAGGTGACTTAACACTAAATCATTCTCCTGTCAAATAAGCAAATTTATAAACTCTCTCCTTTCTCCAAAAAGCATCACCAAGGCAACAATACCCCCTTAATGAAAGGTTTGAAGCGAGAAAATGCAGTAATACCAGCAATTATATTTTGGCACTATTTTCATTATGGGAACTGATACAGCCGGCGTCAAACTTCTGTCTCATTTCTAACACACGCTGGATAGAAATACAAGGTTATAGAGCGTGGTGTCGGTAAGCCACCAAAGCAAGACACGCCAAAGCCGTATGAACTCAGAAGCCACAAAAAGAGGAGGCACAAGATCTGACATGCAGTCCTGGTGCCCATCCTGAACGGAGGAGCTGGGTACATTAGTTACTTTACTTATTTCACAGGCGAACATATCTTCCCTACACTGCAAAGAATTGAAGGATGCAACCGCTAAAATTAATTTTTAATGGAACAAAGTCATATAAAAGAAATATCTCTTCAGGGTATATTAATGTGATTAATACAAACAGTACAGATTCTTTTAGCCAACTATAGCAGAACAACATTTTTTTAGACAAAAAGTCACCAATTTATATGATGAGGCGATAAACGCCTTCTGAATTAGAACAAATATTTAGTTTTACTCATAAGACTATCAACTGATGTTTCAAGCATTAAACATTTTAAATTTCAAAATGAACGAGCCCACCAGGCATTGGCAGACTGCTCTCTTTTGGCCGTTTTTTGTCTGATAAGAGAGTTAAAGGTTGCGACAATTTGTACCCTCCTGCCCCTCAGGAAAAAAAAGAAACCTATTTTATGTGTGGTTACAGTTCACACATATTTAAGAGCCCATAATACCCTCTTCTATTGCTTTGTAAGCACATCCTGAACTTATTCTATGGAGTAACTCACTTGGATTGGTAAGGGGTGAGGCTGGCAATGGGTACCACTTTGGCCTGTGATGCCCCAGAACTATTCACTAGGCTGGCACCTCCAGCTTTTCCAAATGTCTTTGAGGCACCATAAGCCTTAGATACAGTAGAACCTTTGAAAACAAACACAAGAAAGGACAATCATTATTCTATTTAAATTAACTCTCAATTACTGCGGTATCACTGGTGAAATCATAACAAAACAAGAGGCAAACTTTTTCCTTTTCTAGCAATCAGGAGATATGAAAATCAAATACAGATGAAACAAGAGGCTGACTTAAGTCCTCAGGTCAAGATTGTAATGCTAAATGAACCCAGACACTGATCCACTCTTCTAAAACTTTTCTCTCAATGGGCAATATAACGGGTCAGAAAAAGAAAATCAATCTCCTTGACTGGTAAAACTGATGAAAGTCACTAGCTGCATAAGAAAAAGAGCAAGAGGAAAGGTCATAGTGAATGAACCATCCAAGGTAAAGGATGTCCGTCACAAACATATCACCTCAAAATACCCCTAGAAAATTCCCAGTCCTCAACTGGTCTACAGGCCTGACAAGTACAGAATGAAGTCTATGGGACTGGGTTCAGTTGGGAACAAAGGGAAAGACTCAGTTGTTGGTTCAGGACAAGTAGGTGGCTGGCTACCAGGACCCCTTCTGCCTCCTAATCCAAGCCTAAGCAACTGCCTCCACTTGGAAAGAATAGGCAATTAAAGCCTATAAGCACATGGATTCCTCTGCACACTGTTTCTATAAGGCTTCAACCTCCAAATTCAGATAATATATTTCAGTCCAATGATTTCATATCTTCTATATAAAAACATTTCTTCATAATGGAATTTGGCTAGAAGTATAAACCCACCATTATTCAGCATTCATTATTGAGTTTCCACTGCATGTACAACACTATTCTAGGTATTTGCAGCACTTAGTAAAAAATATACACAGACTGTTCCAGATCTTAAAATTTTCTATTCTAACTGCAGAGTTGAAAGACGGCTACATACACAGCAGTAATGATTATGCAAAGAAGCACACATGCTTTGTAGAATACGTGTGTATACATACCTAATACATAATATACAATTATGTAGAACACACACACACACACACACACACACACACACATCCGGTTTTCATGCCGCATAGCTTCCCCTCAACACATATCCAGTCTTTTTTCTTTTACCACCCAGCTGATGTATGTTTAGAGAACATTAACAGATTTTAAAAATTAAATATTAATAATATAAGCCAAAGACCGACAACTGAGAAAATAAGTCTGTGGGAGAAGAATAACACATTTGTATTTCAGCATAAGGAAGTGACTTTTTGATTATTTACCATCTCAGACCATCTATTCCACCACTTTTTTTTTTTTTTAAATATATCTTTATTGATTTCAGAGAGAGGAAAGGAGAGGGAGAGAGAGATAGAAACATCAGTGATGAGAGAGTCATTGATCGAGCCCACAAGGGCATGTGCCCTGACCGGGAATCGAACCCTGATCGCCTGGATCCTAGGTCGACGCTCAACCTCTGAGCCACGCCCGGCCAGGCATATTCCACCACCTTTAACAGCAGATAATTTGAGAGCTGTGTATGAATACATCCATTTATAAAGAGAGAGAGATAGAAAGTAGGTAGGTAGATTTTGCAAGGCAGATAAAAACATCAAAGGCCAATGGGGGAAAAGTCATATGTTTCAAAAGTTTCACAGAAACATTACTGACGTAACTTTGCCGTTTTTAAAGTCCTAGCATTGAAAAATAGAAACTGGTTGAGAGGAGAGGATGTGGTGTATGTGAAGCTGTACAGAGAAAGGGGCCTCTAAAGAGAAATCCAACCAAATTCTACAAATCATCATTTTCAATGGTGGTTCCTAAAGTAAAGGCCAGAAGGAAACAAAACGATTCCATTACAGCCTCCCAGGACCTGCTGCAGAGAAAGTTAAAAGAAGAAACTATTTCTCATCCTTAAGACGAGAAGCAAACCTATGGCCAATATAAATGACACTGTCTTCAAGCTAAGACAAATGCTCAAGAGCCCAAAATGGGAAATGTGGAGTGAAACAGGCCAAATTTAATAAGCAGATCCTAGATAGTTAAAAGGCTGGAATTTAAAAGCTATGTAAATTCACAAAGCCAAGAGGGTGTAAAACCTAAGATGTGAGAAACTACCAGAAATACTATTAACAGAGAACAGTATATCATTCTGACAAAAAATGGCATATTAAGTACCTTTAAAAGACTATCTTTAATCATTTTTTCAATCACATACTTTGCAATAAGAATTGGACTTATTCTTTGTCAGGAATGGCATTCTGAACACTCCCTTTTGTCCCAGATTAAATTTCAAAACATTACTCAAAAGCCTGACACGTATAATCAGCATGTATCCCCGTGTGGCAGTCTTACCTACTCCTGAGCTCCCATTCTGCTGCTGGGGCTTGCTGGTTGGTGGACTGGCTGCCGAGGCTAGAGAAGGAACTACCTGCTGCCCATGTCCTGAGGATCAAAAGAGAAAGAGCATTTTGGTGCAAATAATTTGGGTTAAAAGATTTAAACTTGAGTAGAAGAAATACTCTGAGAAAATGAGAATTTTTTTTGATTCTGTCAAAGACTCTCATGGGTCGGCATTCCTGCTGGGGCAGTCAATAGCATGCAGTGAATTTGCTAGGCGGTTCATTTTTGTTTTCATTACATCAAAGGTTGGCTCCATTTACCTTTCACCTGCGTATAATTGATAGCTTTCCGTTTTAATGAGGTTCTCCCCTAAAGCCTTGCCCATTTCTCCCTTGTGAACCTGAGGTAAAGTCACTGGGCTGAATCTGTGACAATACCACCATTTCCATAGCAACAAATCGATGTCATCAACAGAACTGCGTGCTCGCGGCAGGATCTATTAGAAGAAAAAGCTGGGTGGTAAGAAAAACCTAAAAGCAGTTCAATTGTCTCTGAAGTGCTCCTGCTTCAAAGGAAGGCAGACATTCAGAAAGGATTCTAGCCTTTCCCTCCCAAACAAAGCCACCTTATTTTGCAACTGACAGTGGTGGAAAATCAGTTGAAAGAGCTTCAGGTACCATGAAGTGCTAGTGAACTGTCACAGCAGGAAGAGATGAGAGCGGAGTTCAGAGGCAGGTACGTCAAGGAAACAGGAAGATTTAAAGGAAAGGAGGGGAAATGAACATGTGTCTCGAGCAGAAAACAAGAAATGCCTTAATCCTTTCTACAAATGTTTATGAAGTTGAAAATGTTAAAATAGCAAAACACACCTAATTGGGGGGAAAATGATAGGATTTCTGGAATTTGCTTTTGCTTTGTAATTGGCACTAAAAGTACAAGCCAACCTAATGTGGGCTGCTCACCAAGAGTGCTTGCAGCACACGCCGTAGCTCAGAAAAATTTCCTAGAGAGCCCCGAGAACACAAACGGTGAGCGGCTGCCAAGCCCCCTCCTGCCCCTCGCCCTGGCCTCTCCAAACACAGGCTTATTCCTGCCGCGCCCCCAAGGCCCTCAGGCACGCGGGCAGATTACACACTGATGTCATTTCCTTCTGCCAATATTACTCTTCACTGGTACGACTAAACAAGAGCTAACTGTGCGATTAGAGTAAAACGAATTTAGCATAAAATTCAAAAGGTTAAACGGAATTGTTTATTCTTTAGTTCTTCCTATGGAGAGAAAAACTGAGGCCTTATTTACATAGAAGAGGAGGGTAGATTCTTGACAATGAATTTTTGTGTTTCCTTTTGGCTTTTCCACTATCTCTGAATTTACAAAGTGTCACAGAAATTGAAGGGGAGAATTGCTCTTCTTTGATAGTGTGTCTTGTGAAGGAACATTGTGAAATTCTACAGTGAACCTGTTTTAAAATCAGTAGGGAAAACAGGAGTTGCTCAGTAAACAGTATTAGAATCTAATGGTTGGAGGCAAAAGTATTATTCCCTGCTTCGTGAAATATATTAAAAAAATGGAAAGATTTCAATATTCAAAGACAATACCATAAAAATACACAAACCCCTGCTCTACTTGCTCTGCTCCACTGTAGTGCACCCTTCTCTTCCACTGTCTCAAATCTGTACAAGCTCTCAAGCCCTCTTCTCACTTACCACGCCAGCTTCTGCAAATACCTTGTCAAACAGGACACGCTCATGCGACCATGCTGATCTGCTATCTTTAATTTCTATCAAAATGTACCGAGAGTAGTCAAATTCAGAGACAGAAAGTAGAATGGTGGAGTGGGAAATGGGGAGTTACTGTTTCACGGGTACAGTTTCAATTTGGGATGATGAAAGAGTTCTGAAGGGGCGACGGTTGCCTAACAACACGAATGTACTTAAATGCCACTAAACTGTACACTTAAAAAATGGTCAAGGTGCCCTGGCTGGGTGGCTCAGTTGGCTGGAGCATTGTCTAGTGCACCAAAGGGTCACAGATTCGATTCCGGTGAGGGTACATACCCAAGGTTGTGGGTTTGATATCCAATAAGGGCACAAATGGGAGGCAACTGATCGATATCTGTCTGTCTGTCTCTCAATGAAAAACATATCCTCAGGTGAGGATTTAAAAAAAAAAGGTTAAGATGTAACCTTTGTTATGTATACTTTACCACAATTTTTATGTATGTATTTATTAATTTATTTAAATTGATGATTGATATTTTAGAGAGAGAAAGGGAGAGAGAGAGATAAACATCAATGTGAGAGAGAAACATCGATCAATTGGTTGTCTCCCGCACACACCCTGACTGGGGATCGAACCCTCTACCTGAGTATATGCCCTGACCATAAATCAAACCTGTCATCTTCTGGTGCATGGGTCTACACGCCAACCAACTGAGCCACATGGGTCAGAGCTACCACCATTTAAAAAAAATGTAACTTACCTATTTACCTATTCTAAAATGAACACTTGACATTTTAACATATAAATTAATATTAATGTGTTATAATTTCCTTGTAGTAGTACATAATATAATGTTACAGACTTATAATCATAGGATTCTTAGATTCAATGACGTAGACAATAATAGCTACCATTTTTTGCATCTTACTATATGCATCAAGTATAAGATTAAATGCATTATTCCATTCAATCTTTAACTCAATGATATAAATAGTATTATTATGCCCATTTAACAGATGAGAAAACTAGGTTACAGAGGTCAAGTAACTTGCCCAAAGTCACACAACTAGGAAGAGGCAAAACGTCATCTTGAACCCAGGTTTGTCTAACTCGATTCATCCACTTCACCGTGTAGTTAATTTTTAATAATGAGCAACTAATTCTGGCAGCCAAGACTCTAATTATATAGAACATAACTAATAACCCTAATATCTGGTAGCTAGGAAAAGCTGCTAATCCACTTATCAGAGCAATAATCAACTCCTGCTTTGGACTACATTTGCAAATCTGGCACAGGACACAAGGGACAGTCTCAAAGTAAATGGATGGCAAGAATCCTGGTGCATTCTAAATAGCAACAATTGCCCTTCAATTTAATGCACTGCAACAGCCGCTGACCACAAGACCTGAAAGAAATTAGTCTAGAGCTAAACAAAAATCTTGCTAAAATTTAAAATTATACCCCAAAGCAGAAATGCAGACTCAACTTCTGATAATCTTCTGTTTTGTGCCACCAGCAAATCAAACATTGCAGGGAGGTGGATCAAGGTTGTAATCCTTAGACTCTTTTGCTTATCACTGGCTCTGACCAAGGAGGAAAATGGGATATTTAAAAGCAGACTCCAGCTCCTTAAGTTACTTGTACTCACACCCATCATTTTAATTATCATTACAATGGTAAGTGAGCCACCAGCAGATAAAAATTAGGTAACACATGGTAGAGTACACAAAGTGACAAAAACTCAGTTTCTACTAGCAAGTGATTCCTTAACAACAGTTACAAAGCATATAAAAGAGTCAACCCAATAGTTAAAATTGCCTATTGGCAGAAAATAGACAGAATGGGGCCCCAAAAATTCCAACTAATAATGAATATATTATGACGTATTATGTAAGACATTTAAGTCTAAGTAAAATATTATAGTTAAAAACAGCCAACATGGCTCAGCAGTTGAATGTCAACCCGTGAACCAGAACATCATGGTTTGATTCCTGGTCAGGGCACATGCCCGGGTTTTGGGCTCGATCCCCAGCAGGGCACATGCAGGAGGCAGGATCAATGACCCTCTCTCATCAATGATGTTTCTCTCTCTCTCTCTCTCTCCCCCTCTACCTTTCTGTCTCTGAAAGCAATAAAACATATTAAAAAATAAAAGAATTTCATTTTTTCAGTACTGAGCTATCAGCTGTTAAAGTATGTGTACATTTTTTTGGGACACCCTGTATTTGTTCATTAAAACTTGTATAGTTTTTGCTCTGCCTGGTATGCTCAGTGGTTAGTGTTGGTCTGTGCACGGAAGGGTCTTCAGATTCGATTCCCGGTCAAGGGCACATACCTGGGTTGCAGGTTCAATCCCCGGCTCTGATCGGGGCGCATGTGGGAGGGAACCAACAGATGTGTCCCTCTCACATCAATGTTTCTCTCTCTCCCTTCCACTCTCTCTGAAAAGCAATGGAAAAAATATCCTCAGGTGAGGATTAAAAGAAAATTAAAAAATGAAATATGATTAAGATAATCAGACAGCTTTTTAAATAAACATTAATTGTTGAATAGTTATATGTTTCAAGTGAAAACTACAAAATTATACTTTTAGAGAAATCTTACTCCTACCCCTGCCTCCTACCCCCTTAACTCCTACCCACTGCTGCCCCCTTTAGGCAACTAATTTTAGTGGTTTCTTTTTATTCTTCATGTGTTTATTTTTATTGGACTTGGTGGCAGAGCAGACAAGCTGCCTCCTTTTATGGGATCAATGACTGAAGATTCTTTGCCTTCTTCTATAACTATTACTGTCTCTCTTGTTTAAAGTAATTGAATTTTTCTAATTGTGTTTTTCTAGATATCTTCAGAAGAAAATGAAAATCATTATCAAGAGATAATCACTGTTGAGAGGATTCTGGGAAAATGGCAGCATGGGAAGCATCAGTGACCTGGCCCCCAACCTAGACTACAACTGCACTGGCAGAATCTGTCTGCGGTAACTATCTGGGGGGAAGCAGTCCTATGGGACTGAGGCCTCACCCTGTGGGATCTGATGCTAACTCCAACCAGGTAGTGTCAGAGTTGAACTGAATTGAACTATAGGACTCCCAGCTGGTGTCTACAGGGAATTTGAAAATTATTTGGTGGGGGAAAACCCTCCCTACATCTAGTCACAGAAAAGCTAGAAGTGTGAGTGTTGAGCAAAGAGAAAAACAGAGAAGTTTTTCCTTTACAGAATCTAACCATTTCTTCAGTCCTGAAGAAAACTACAAGAACCTGGTTCCTAGACCCCCCCAAATCAATAGTTTTATTAAGACTAACAAATCAAACTGAATCCAAAAGGTAGAATTCCAGATCTATAAAGAGATATTCATTTGAGTGCTACAACCTATAAAAAGTATTTTACCTTCATTATAGGGCACTGGATTGCCAATCTTTACTCCAACAGCTTCTGCTGATTTCAAAATGTCTAACTCCATCAAAATAACTACTCTCCTACAAAGGCAAAGAAAGAGAAACAAGTTAGAAAAAAATAAATTCAGAAGCCCTTCAAATGACAAGCTACTTAAAAAGCTTTTCCCCAATAATCATTTTGATGAAACTATTTTCCTTTGTCAGTTGGTTTTCATACTGAATAACTTGAGAAACATACGATAGCAATTCCTACATAAATATTTCTCTGAATCTTTCACTGTATCATTATCAAGTCTTTTTATGATCGCAGGATTTTCATTTCCCATCAAGTCCCTAATTAAAATGCAGTGTCCTTACTACATACTGTATCTTCAAGGAGCAAATGACATAAGAATATAGATTGTTAAACACAAGAATATGTGGCACAACAAGAGATTATCTATTTTCAGAAACATAACAATTATCTAAACAATTACCTTTCCCAGTGCAAACCAGTATGACTGTAGATATAGTTTTTTAAGTAATTATAATCTAAGAATATAGTTCTTTGACCTATTTTTAACTCTGATTAAAACCCTACAATAGGGGATTAAAGATGGTGGCAGACTTAGTGGAAGCTACACTGACACTCTCCCGGGACCAAACTGGAATTACAACTAAAATACAGAAAAACCATCCTGAATGATGAACTGCAACCGAAGACAAGCTGGAGAGCACCCTCGTAACCAAAGAGGAAAAGTGGAGACCGCATAGAGACTGGTAGGAAGTGCGGAGGCACCAGAGGGCTGGCTGGGCTCCCAGAGGCAGCAGCTGAAGGTCCCGAGCAGTATCTCAGCTGTGGGGGTTCCCACTGAGGACTCTGGGGTCTAAACCCCAGGCTGGGCTTCCCAGCCAAGAGCACCAGAACTGAGAAAGGTGCCCATGTAACATCTGGCTGTGAAAAGCAGCAGGGTTTCTGTCTGCCAGGGAGAGAAGGTTGGAAATGCCAGCACCCTCTTAAAGAGCCAATGCACAAAGTTTCATGTGCAACCACTCACCTTGGGCTCCAGCAGAGGGAGGGCAGAGTGGACTGGAGTTATGTAAGGAGAATCAAGGGCTGTGGGCTCTGGAGATAGAACTTAGAGGGTACCCCTCTGGATTCCTGTGCCCAGTCATTCCCCTATACTGCAGAGTCAGACATTTACTTTCCAAGCAGCTTTTGCCTGAGGGGGAAACAACTGCCCCACCCTGCTGGAAAACCTCTTACCCTACCCTAAGGAGTTTCTACAGTGAGAGGCTCCTTAAGAGACTAATAATAATCAGCCACCCCACCCTGTGGAGTTTCTACAGCCTGAGGCTCATTAAAAGAATCAGATTAATCAGCCTGCAGGCAGAGGCAGACTCCAGAGGGCTTTAAGTCTTCGCCTGATCTGCTTCTGGATCTGAGCCTTGGAAAAGCAGACTTTCGTGTGCATCTTGGTCCTGTCCAAATGGACCCCACCCCCAACAGAGGGGACCTCAAGCCATGGGTTGCTGATAGCTCCAAACAGGGTTCTCAAGACCAGTCACAAACAGCGCCCGACATTGGCCTGTACCAGAGACCATCCAAAAAGACTGAGTGTCGTAGCAGGCCTACCTAATACATAGAAACAAACCCAAATAGGCAGCCAAAACGGGGAGATAAAANCTTCCAAAAAGACTGACAGTCCTAGCAGGCCTACCTAATACATAGAAACAAACCCAAATAGGCAGCCAAAACGGGGAGATAAAAAAACAAGCCCCAAATGAAAGAACAAGAGAAGTCTCCAGAAAAAGAGCTAAATGAAACAGAGATAACCAATCTCTCAGATATAGAGTTCAGAATACTGATTGTAAGGATGCTCAACAGCATGAAAAAAGATATGGAAACTATGAAGGAAATTAAGAATGACATAGCAGAAATAAAGAATACATTGGAAGGAATAAACAGCCGATTAGAGGAAGCCGAGGATCGGACTAGTGAATTAGAAGGCAGGGTAGGAAAAAAATCATTCAATTAGAGATCCAAAAAGAAAAAACAATTAAAAAACAGGAGGACAGTCTAAGGGAGCTTTGGGACAACATGAAACATACAATATTCACATCACAGGAATGCCAGAGGAGGTCGAAAGGAAGCAAAGGTTAGAGAACCTGTCTGAAGAAATAATGGCAGAAAACTTCCCTAACCTGGTCAAGGAAAAAGTTACACAAGTTCAGGAGGCACAGAGATTCCCAAGCAGGAAGAATCCAAAGAGGCCCATACTCAGACACATCATAATTAAAATGCCAAGAATTCAAGAAGAAGAGAGAATCTTAAAGGCAGCAAAGGAAAAGCAACCTGTTACCTACCAAGGAGCTCCCATAAGGTTGTTAGCTGACTTCTCATCAGAAACTCTACAGGCCAGAAGGGAATGGCATGAAGTATTCAAGGTAATGCAAAACAAGAATCTGAAATCAAGACTACTCTATCCAGCAAGGCTATCATTCAAAATAGATGGTGAAATAAAGAGCTGCCCAGACAAAAAAAAGACTAAAGGAGTTTATCATCACCAAACCAGCATTGCAGGAAATGTAAAGGGACTGCTGTAATAAGAAGAAATAGAGAGAGAAACATAGGCATAAAGAATTAAAATGGCATCCTGGCTGGGCATGACTCAGTAGTTGAGCCTCAACCTAGGATCCAGGAAACCATGGCTCAATCCCCAGTCTGGTGTGTGCAGGAGGGCAGCCAATCAATGACACTCTCATCATTGATGTTTCAATCTCTTTCTCCCTCTCCCTTCCTCTCTCTGAAATCAATAAAGTTTTTTTTTAAAGAATTAAAATGGCAATAAATAAAGACCTATCAATAATAACCTTAAGGACTTTTAAGGGAGAAACCAACAGCAATACAGTCATAGTCGTGGACTTTAACACTCCACTGACTTCACTGGATAGATCTTCCAGTCAAAAAGTCAACACAGAAACAGTGACTAAATGCACACTAGGTCAGATGGATTTAATTGATATTTACAGAACATTTCACCCCAAAGCTGCAGAATATACATTCCTCTCAAGTGCACATGGGTCATTCTCAAAGATAAGACCACATGTTAGGACACAAAACCAGTCTCTACAACTTCAAGAAGATTGAAATCATATCAAGCATCTCAGATCACTAGGGCATGAAATTAGAAAACTACAGTAAAAACACTCAAATACATTCAAACACGTGGAGGCTAAATAACATACTAAACAATGAATGGGTTTCTAATAAGATCAAGAAAGAAATCAAAAACTTTCTGGAAACAAATGAAAATGAACACACAACAACCCAAGATCTATGGGACACAGTGAAAGCAGTCCTAAGAGGAAAGTTCATAGCACTGCAGGCCTACCTCAAAAAGCAAGAAAAATTTTTAGTAAGCTATCTAACCCTACAACTTAAAGAATTAGAAAGCTCCCCTGTGAGGCCGTCCAGACAAGGGCTTTTGTTTGCTGAAAGTTATTTTATCGCTGCTTCAATTTCATCAGTTGTTATGGGCCTATTCAAGTTTTCTGATTCTTCCTGGTTCAGTTTTACATGCTCTCACTCATATGTGGAATCTAATAACAAAATAGACTAAGGAACAAAACAGATCCAGAGACATAGAAGCATGGAACAGACTGATGAATCTCAGAAGGAAGGCGGGAGTGGGGGAGTGGGTGGGGAGAGATTAATCAAAGAACTTATATGCATATATGCATAACCCATGGTCATAGACAATAGCATGGTGAAATCCTTGGTGGGGTGGGTGGATGCGGGGTGGAGGGGATCAATGGGGAAAAAAAGGGGGGATATCTGTAATACTTTCAACAAAAAAGGTAAATTTAAAAAACAAAAAACAAAACAAAAAAAAAACAACTAAACAAAACCTTACAATAACTTCCCAAGGGCCATAGACCAAAAAAACACCCTTTCACATGGTCTACAGGCTGTGTGGTCTGGCCTTGCTAATCTCCAACTCATCTCACACCAGTTCCCCAAGGATCTCTGCTCTCTAGCCACGCTGCTTTCTTTCAGCTCCCAGTGTATGTTATGTTCTCTGCTGCGGCAAGGCCTTTGTGTACACCGCTCTGATTGGGATGGCTTCCTCTTATTCTGCCTCATCTAATACTCATTTTTTGGCTTTCATCTCAACTATCACTTCTTCAAGACACTTCCCTAATTGTTAGGTTAGATCAGGTTTCTGTTATACTCTCTTCTATAGCCATGACTGTTTTCCTTCTTCAGCTTACTTCTCTCAGGTTTAATTAATATATATGAACATGTAATTATTAACATATATAGTATAAATGTCCACTGTTTATTTATTTATGCATACATGTACATATATATAGTATAGTATAACTATATATTCATTACTTGATTATCTCTTTCTCCTACTAGACTGTACTTTCAATGAGGGCAGGTATCCTCCTGTGCTTAATGCAACAACTGGTCCACAGTTGTTGCTCAATACAAACTTGTAAGAATGTCATGATCATGTCTATATTTTAAAGAAAACTTGCCCAGCCGGCATGGCTCAGTGGTTGAGCATCAACCTATGATCCAGGAGATCTTGGTTCGATTCCTGGTCTGAGCACATGCCTGGGTTGCAGGCTCAATCCCCAGTGGGGGTTGTGCAGGAGGCAGTCTCTCATCATTGATGTTTCTATCTCTCTGCCTCTCCCTTCCTCTCTCTGAAATCAACAAAGATGTATTTTAAAATAAATTAATTAAATTAAATTAAATTAAGCTGTTGAAATACCAGTCTATCTACTTCTGTCACCAACCACCACTTCTCCACATAGCTATCAGAATAATCTTTTGGAGATTTTTTGAAACTTAAATCAGATCATATCACTACTACCTGTCTCAAAACCCCATGGCTTCCCATCACACTCAGAATAAGACCTAAACTCTTTACTGGGGTATATAGGCCCTCCATGATATGGAATATCCATTTGGAAAAAATTAAGCTAAATTCCTCCTTCATATCCTATGTAAAATAAATCACAAGTGAAATATTTAACTCCATATCACAAGATACCATAAAAAGACTATTATAAAGTGGGATAAAATA